AAGGCCGAAATTTCGAAAGTAAATTAATAAAAGAATTATGTAAATTATGCGGCATACATTAAACTCGAACTACACCCTATCACCCACAATTCAATGGCTTGACCGAAAGATTCAACCGCACCCTATTAAACATGTTGGGAACATTAGATAATTGTCAAAAACAAAATTGGAAAGAATTTGTCGGTCCCATGGCCCACGCCTACAATGCAACCCGACATGATTCTACTGGGTATGCTCCATTTTTTTAAATGTTCGGCCGTCATCCTAATTTGCCCATTGATCTTGTGCTAGGCCTTTCATCTGAAAATGATGCTAATTCATATGAAGACTTTGTTAACCAACTTCACAACACGTTGCAATTTTCATATAAAACGGCCACTGAATCGGCACAAAAAGCAAAGCAAAAACAAAAGAAATCGTATGATGTGAGAGCGACTGATTCACCATTGCAAACAGGCGACCGCGTGTTAGTGCAACGCAAACACATTATTGGGACGCAGAAATTAGCCAACAAGTGGGAATCTGTCCCTCATATTGTTGTCTCTAAATCGGATGTACCCGTGTATACAGTGTCAAATATTATTACCGATAAACTTAAAACGCTTCATCGAAAAATGCTAACAAAATGCATGTTTCTTCCTATCGACAATGAAACCGACGAGGACGCGTCTTTTGTCAATGACACTTCCGCAAAAGAGGGGGAAGGGGTACCCATAAGCACCGTAAGCAAAACTAAAGGTAGTGACCTCGATTCCGATAGTGAGGATGAAATACCATCAGAAAATCCAATACCTTTACTTAGCAGAAATACTATAAATAGTGACAGTCCCTCGACAAGTAATGATGTACATATAACAACTCCCATTATTGAACAACGGTCAACCCGTAACAGGAGACCTGTAGATAGGTTCAAGTACTCTGCTCCCGGACAAACCAAAAGGCACACGGTAACTAAACGAAACAATACTCATGATATCTTACCTGCAAACAACTCTAAAGATAACGATTCTTCCCTGATCCTCAAAGAATGTCTTAATAGAGGTAAAAAAATATTTAAAAAATGGCAGCGTAAGAAAGAAAAGAGAGATACGTAGCGACCATCGTGTATATTTGTGATGGCATTGACTTACTGTAAGTGTAACTTGATTTTTGAACACATTTTTAATTATATAACAAACAATACACTTTTACGTTTTATTCCAATTTAATCTTGTATTGTACAATATTTTGCTTTATTTATCGAACTGCTACATGCATATTACGAATTTGAAGAGTTTTAATGTGAGTTTATCCATTTTCATTTGAACATATACTTATATTATAGTTAAGTATTTCAGATGACGGATTCCTTCCATTTTTTAAATTTTAATTTAGTTTAAGCAGTCAATATGCATATGTTAACGTTTTATTGCTTTCGTATGTATTTTAAGTTTAAATTTCTTTGTATTATCATTTAAAAAAATGCATTTATCTACTGTATTTTCTGATATTTTAATAATGTAGGCCTACTTTGTTGTAAAGAAATGTCAGGGGACATTTTCTTAAAAGAAGGGTGGATGTGACATGTGTCATTTATCTGATTTTACACTTTTCCACTCTCTACTTTATCAAAGGTTATTTTGTTTCCAACCTATTGAAGAATGTGGCAGGTACCACATAAATTACCGTCCCAAGACAATGTAGATTGGTGTGGGTCCAGTCTGTAATTGATAACGTATTTATTGATAAAGTCTTCTAGATTTTGGTAGAGTGTCTACCTTACCCTATGATTAATGTGCCTGTTTAGGTGATTAGGTGGAAATTCTTTGTTTTAATAGTATATATGATGAGTTGAGCGGTCAAGTGGCGATTCGCAGTCAGAAACTTGATGAATAAATATCTCAGCTACCAGTTATACGTTTGTTTCTTTATATTTCGTTTGTCAGTGCAAAATACGAAGGGTTACATTTTGACGATCCTGCCAGGACACAGTAATAATAATTTGAGCGAAATATTTTCTACAGATTATTTGCTACGGATTGTTTTACTGTTTTAATTTTTATTCCCTTTTGCTGAGGATATTTAAAAGCTAAGTTATTTTCAAATCGTATTTTTTACTTGGAATGGCTAGACGACGGGCACAAAAAACTCCATTACCAGATGTTGAATTGACAATCGAAGACGAAGAAATGCAGACTCCACACAAAGTGCATTCACTACCTCCTCATCAGCTACCAATTCATAGACAAGCACAAACCCTAGGACATTCACTGTACCACCAAGTGAAAAATGTCCCCATATTTACAGGGAAGCCAGGGTCCGGAATCGATATCGAGGACTGGATAAGAGATATCAGGTACGTCATAAGGACAACACAGATGCCTGAAGATGCCCAATTTAATACCATCATCAGATACTTAGGAGAGGCGGCGAGGAAGTTAATCCTCAACCTCTCTTTAGAGGAACAAAATCCTGAAAGCGCATTTTCAGAATTAAAGGCGCAATTTGGTGAATCATTTTTTGCTGGGGATCCACTCGCTGAATTTTATGAACGATTTCGGCATCCATCAGAAACACCATCCATATATGCTGTTGAATTAGAAGCAGTTCTCAGGGGAGTTGAAGAGAGAACACACAACAGACAGCCTTTGCCTTCACGTGAACATATGTTAACGCAACAATTTATGCGCGGCGTCAAGGACACCAGTGTAACACAGCGATTAGCACCCATGCGTCCACGAAACATGGCATTTAAGGATGTTAAAGCTGAGTTGCGGCTTATGGAGCGAGAAAATAAGTCTACAGGTAGGCCTACAATTAAGGAACCCATTAAAGTTGCGCGACAACAGGTAGGAGCAGCGACAACATCAGAAAATCGACTGGACGATCTAACAAAATCCATTACTGATTTAAAGGAACAATTTGCGAAGATGCTGTCGATGCAAGCTGACAACAGTCCTAAGGACAAAACCGTGAGTAAGCCTCCTCATAATATCCACAA